TATTATGAAGACCATTTTATAAGTTTTCATCAGGAAAAAAGTTAGTGTAAATTCTAGTTGAGCAAGTGTATGTGGTGGAAGAAGAAAGGGGAATCTAATAAAACTGTCACCATCACTTTGATATCAGCAAGTGATACTTCTACTCTCAGAGCACCATCTACACTTACATCTTTGCAAACTGCCTTAGAACACTCAGCTTGCTCTTGATGCCTGGAGAGACCTGTCCCTGACCATCATGTGGATGTAAATTCTATGAAGACTGCTGACTACATTGCTTACCATAGAGACCAATGGATGAAGAGAAATGGTACCAGCTGCCTCCTAACTCTAAATGGCACTTCCAACATGCATCTACTTATTGTTCACCGTATCCATAATATTTTAAGAGACCACAGAGAAGAAATGATTCACACCCATGTATTCCTTGGTAGGCTACTGCACATCTGCTTTGGATTATCCTACCTGAGCAGAGCATCATAGATCCAAAATAGACTTAACATTCCCTATGTCTAAACTATCTTTTCCTGTGTCCCCAGTCTCAGTGATTGGCATTGCATCCATTCAATTCCCCAAGGCAGCATTTGGTGGTTTTACTTCTGTCACCATCGAGACACCAAGCTCCTTGGGGGTGTCTCCTAGATGTTTTATTTCTATTCATTTTCTCCACATCTTTATAGCTGCCTATCCTACTTCATGGCCACACTGTCCTATTCTTCAATTCTGTCATAGCTTTTTTATTATGTTAGAATTTTATTTTTATATTTATATTTTTTTGATTTTTTATTTTAATTAGAAAGAAGATTATTTTACATGTCAATCCCAAGTCCCTCTTCCTCCCCTCCTCCCCTGCCCCAAACTAACACCCTACCTATCCCATACCCTTTCTGCTCCCCAGGGAGGGTAGGCCTTCCATAGGTCTTCAAAGTCTGTCATATCCTTTGGGATAGGACCTAGGCCAAGCCCCATGTGTCTTGGCTCAGAGAGTATCCCTCCATGTGGAATGAGCTCCCAAAGTCCATTCCTATGCTAGGGATAATTAATGATCCACTACATGGGGCCACATAGATTTCCGAGGTCTCCTCACTGACACCCACATACAGGGGGTCTGGATCAGTCCCATGCTAGGTTCCCAGCTATCAGTCTGGGAACCAAGAGCTCCCCCTTGTTTAGGTCAGCTGTTTCTGTGGCTTTCACCAGGCTGGTATGGATCCCTTTGCTCATCAGTGTTCCTTCTCTGCAAATGGATTTCAGTCCAGTTCAAGGTTTAGCTGTGGGTGTCTCCTTCTACTTCCACCAGCTGCTGGATGAAGGCTATAGGATGGCATAGAAGTTAGTCATAAATCTCATTATTAGAGGAGGTCATTTAATGTAACCTCTCCTCTGTTGCATAGATTGTTAGTTGGTGTCATCTTTGTAGCTCTCCAGACAATTCCCCTGTGCCTGATTTCTCTTTAAAGTCTGCTGAGATCCCTGGGCTACACAGGGCAGAGGTGAGCTGCTTCAGCCCCTGCCTTGAGCCCAACTTCTGCTTGCCCACTCTGGGAACACCCCTCCTGGGGGGGTGCAGGCAGATGGACTTGGCCCCTGAGACTCAGGCAACTCTGAGTCTGCTGACATTTCTGTGCTTTCTACCTGGAGAGCGAGTGCCTAGAACCTGCCTGCACCCACCTTGAGACCCAGCAGAGTATTGGAGCCAATTGCACCCACCAGAAGAGAACCTTGGACCCATACACACCAGGAAAGGAAGAGACTTCTCCTGCATCCCTGTGACCTCACTGGAAGAAGACAAGGGCAGATGACAATATAAGAACACATCCAACAACAGGAAAACCAATATGACACCACCAGAGTCTAGGGACTCTACACCAGGAAGACCTGAAAATCCCAACACAGATGAAGCAACCTTAAAACCAACTTCATGCAGATGATAGAGACCCTAAAAGAGGGAATGAAAAAAATCCTTCAGAGAAATGGAAGAAAAGACAAACCAAATGATGCAAGAAATCAAGGAAAGCCAAGGAAATACAATTAAACTGCTGAAGGAAACAGTTCAAGACCTGAAAAACTGAAATAGAGACAATAAAGACAACACAAACTGAAGGAATTCTGGAAATAGAAAAGCTTAGGAAACAATCAGGAACCACAGATGCAAGTATAACCAATAGAATACAAGACATGGACGACAGAATCTCAGACGCTGAGGATAAACTAGAGGAAATAGATTCATCAAGCAAAGAAAATCTTAAGTCCAACAAATCCTTAACACAAAATAT